ACGGCATCGGCACATTAGTATTTCTTCCTGGGAGATGGTTATTAGGCTGTGGCATGTTCAATGTATTATTATTATTATTAATCTTTTTCCATAAAATGCTATTTTGTAATACACCACCATCACTCATTCTACCTTGGTATCCTATGTTGGCAAATAAGAATTATAGTAAAGAATAGTTTTTGATAACTAGAGCCGGGAGCACAAGAAAGTTTTCTTGTAATTAATGTAGTCAGAGCCGCTATGGATAGGTTTTAACCCCACATGTTTGTCATCCAAGGCTACACAGCAACGTGGAAATATGTTTCGAAAGCCTTCTGATATCTGTAGCCAATTTTTTCAGTGCTCCGTAGCTGAAAAAAACGTTATCTATACAACAATGTTGTGGTGTTTATGATGTTTCAGGCACAAATAACATCAAATTCTGATAGATCTCTATCCAGAAAACCAGACATGGGCAGTGGAAACGAATCACCGCAGTATGAACGGTGCAACAAACGAAAACATACTACGAGTACAAAAGACGATTGCAAGTAAAGAAGCAGATATGAGAGAGAAATCTACAAAAACAGACCGATGACAATCACTCGTTTGGCCAATTCCTGGCAAAATTAAAAAAAAATACTACGAGTACAAAAGACGATTGCAAGTAAAGAAGCAGAAATGAGAGAGAAATCTACAAAAACAGACCGATGACAATCACTCGTTTGGCCAATTCCTGGCAAAATTAAAAAAAATACTACGAGTACAAAAGACGATTGCAAGTAAAGAAGCAGATATGAGAGAGAAATCTACAAAAACAGACCGATGACAATCACTCGTTTGGCCAATTCCTGGCAAAATTAAAAAAAAATACTACGAGTACAAAAGACGATTGCAAGTAAAGAAGCAGAAATGAGAGAGAAATCTACAAAAACAGACCGATGACAATCACTCGTTTGGCCAATTCCTGGCAAAATTAAAAAAAATACTACGAGTACAAAAGACGATTGCAAGTAAAGAAGCAGAAATGAGAGAGAAATCTACAAAAACAGACCGATGACAATCACTCGTTTGGCCAATTCCTGGCAAAATTAAAAAAAATAAAGATGACAGGCTGATGCTAACTCATGACATACATAACAAAATTTTTAAGTATGAAATGAAAGCAAGATCCAGATTAAATGACCAATCCCCGTCAAGCCGTACGTCTTTATTAAACATTTATACTCCATCTTCTTCATCTGATTTTGAAACAGAACCAGAGCCACCCACTACTTGGTATGAATCAACATATTCGCAGCCCGGAAACTATGATATAAATATACAGCCTCCTGAAAATTGTATGTCAATATTATTGTGTTTTGAAAACTTAATCAATTTGAACTCAAAATCCCTAAAGAACAGTACTTCTTAAAAGAATATAAAAATACTCTCACAAATAATCACTCCACCACGGCAATTGACCAACCATACAATTGGGGAACCATTAGGCAATCATAAAGATATAATAATATCTCAAGCATATACGATGTCCGGTATAAGTGAAGATTCAGACTCATTTAAGTAATATAACTAATATAATAATTAGAAAAGAAATTTCTTTCACTTTACTCGAATAATATCTGCTGATTTAATATTTTGAAGAGATACTATATGTTCATGTAACTGTCACCAGTGGCCAAAAATCTTAGTGTCATTGCTAGTCGGTGCTTAGACAGAGCTTGCTTCCATTATGTATCTTTCTATTAGATAACTCTTTGTGATGAACTCTTTCTTCCAGAAGCGGCCCCACAGGAAGTGGACCTGGTAGAGCCCCGACGGTTCGACAAAAAAGGAGATTGACTTCATTTTGACGACCAGACGCCAACTGTTCAGTGATGTCTCAGTGATCGCAAGGGTGAAAACTGGCAGCGACCACCGAATGGTTAGAGACACACTGAACCTAAACGTTAAGTTGGAGAGATCTCGTCTAATGAAGTCAACGCTCCGTCCCCCTCGTGCTCTAATCCAGAATCCCGAAACCTTTTAGCACGAGTTACGTAACCGCTTTCAGTGCCTAGAAGATTTCAATGCAGTGGACGATATGAACGACAAGCTCGTGGAAACTGTCCATGCGGTCGGAGCTAAGTTCTACAAGACCGGCCGCAGAAGAACACAAAAGCTCTCCGATCACACTCTTGATCTCATGGCTGTTAGACGGGAGATGAGGCTGCAATTGTCAACAGATTTGATAGCATACAGGCAACTGAACAGACAGATCTCCAAATGCATGCGGCGAGACTTACGCATATTTAATACTGCTCGTATTGAAGACGCGATACAGCGAAACCAGGGCTCCAAAGTCTTTGCCAGAGATCTGTCTGCCAGAAAGAGCCAACTGTCAAAACTGAAGACTGAGTGTGGCAGCATCGTTTCCGGGACACCTGAGATTCTGAGTGCGATTGAGAGGTTCTATGGGCAGCTGTACACATCATCGTTGAAGCCACACGCAAGTGTGAGTAACGATCCAAGAGCGGTCTTATCCGACACTATTCTGATGATATCCCGGACGTCAGTCTGAGCGAGATTAGAATGGCTCTCCAGCACCTTAAAAACGGCAAGTCCCCGGGCAGGGATGGAATTACAGCGGAGCTTCTGAAAGCGGTTGGAAAACCGGTACTTGAAGTCCTTCAGAGGCTCTTTGATTCCGTCCTCCATGTGGGCACTACTCCGAAGGCGTGGAGCAGAAGTGCGGTGGTCTTGTTCTTCAAGAAAGATGACAACGCCCTCTTGAAGAACTACAGATCGATATCCCTTCTGAGCCGCGTCTACGTGCTGTTTTCGAGAGTCATTACGAATCGTCTCGCACGCAGACTCGACGACTTCCCCTCCCGAACAAGCCGGTTTTCGAAAAGGCTTTAGTACCATAGACCACATACATACCCTTCGGCAAATTGTACAGAAGTCCGAAGAGTACAATCTGCCACTTTGCCTGGTGTATGTGGACTATGAGAAAGCCTTTGATTCCGTCGAAATTTGGGCGGTGCTACCGTCTCTTCAGCGGTGCCAAGTTGACTGTCGGTATATCGAAGTACTGAAGTGTTTGTACAGTAGGGCTACGATGGCTATCCGAGTACAGAACCAGAGTACGAAACCTATCCAACTGCAGAGAGGTGTAAGACAGGGTGACGTTATTTCCCAGAAACTCTTCACCGCTGCATTGGAAGACGTTTTCAAGCTACTGGACTGAAAAGGATACGGTATTAACATCAATGGCGAGTGCATCACTTACCTTCGATTTGCCGACGATATAGTCCTTATGGCAGAATCGCTGGAGTACTTAAGCACTATGCTCAATGACCTCAATAGTGCCTCCCAACGGATAGGTCTTAAGATAAACATGGACAAAACAAAGATCATGTTTAATGTCCATGTCACACCTATGCCGGTAGTTGTTGGGAGCACTAAGCTCGAAGTTGTTGACGAGTACGTTTACCTGGGACAAATAGTCCGGCTAGGTAAGTCCAACTTCGACCGAGAGGTCAATCGACGGATTCAACTCGGCTGGGCAGCGTTCGGGAAATTACGACACATCTTCTCGTCAGGTATACCTTAAAACCTGAAAACTAAGTTGTACAACCAGTGCGTGTTGCCAGTGATGACATATGGAACTGAGACGTGGTCCTTCACTGCTGGCCGTATGAGGACGCTCAAAGTCGCTCAGCGAGCTATGGAGAGGGCTATGCTCGGAGTTTCTCTCCGTGATAAACTTAGAAATGAGGATATCCGCAGTAGAACCAGAGTGACCGACATAGCCCAACGGATTAGTAAGCTGAAGTGGCAATGGGCCGGCCATATAGCTCGAAGAACCGACAACCGTTGGGGAAAAAAGGTTCTCGAGTGGCAGCCTCGTACCGGTAGACGAAGTGTAGGGCGATCCCCCACTAGAAGGAGTGACGACCTGGTAAGACATGCAGGAAGGATGGATGCAGGTGGCTCAGGACCGTGCTTTGTGGCATACCTTGGGGGAGGCGTATGTTCAACATTGGACTTGTAAAGGGCTGTAATAATAAAAAAATATTAGATATCAACGGAGCGACCTTCTGCAGCAATAACTCGAAGTCTACATTTGGTATTCTACAAAAAAGTCCAAAATGGCTGACAGGTAACAAATCGGTTAATGATTTGTCCAGGGATTGCCTGAAAGAAAGAAGTAATTTAAAACGGCTATTAAATATCTTTCAATAACTAGTTATTTCACGTAAACAAGTAAAAAAATGCAAAGTAGGCTATCTATCTAGTTCTTTCGCTGTACAATCTACTCATCCAAATACATCTACTCCTCCGCGGCTGGCGATCGCTCTAGTCCGCTCCATGCAGCATATGATAAATTATGTAAGTATATGAACATAGGTAGAACAGTCCAACCGCACTAATAAAAATCATCTTCGTTGTCTATGATTCACAAAATCGCAAGCAAGACTGATACATTCGTAAACAAATGTAGGAGGAAGCGCAAACGAGTACGCAAAATGGAGTATGCGATCATCTAAGTTTGCAATATATGTATAGTATATATAATATGCGTGCAAACGTTCATACTATATTCGTATTAGTATAAGAGATACGAGATAATCACATCGACCAGGATTGAAAGCCGACAATTTATTCCTTGCACAAATGTTGATACCCATCGGAATTTTAAACCCAAGATCTTGAGTGGCATGGCACGTGAAACACCTTGACTTTTCCCTTTTTTACTTTTCATTTTTGGTTTCTCTATTAAGAAATTCTCAGTAGCAGATCGGAGTTATTAAGTTGGTGGTGTCTTCCGAGACACTCTTGTGTCTTGGAAAGATCGTAAAGCCGTTGGTGCTACGCCTGTACACTGGCGCGTGCGCACACAGTACTAATTGTGCACTATAATCCAGTCCTACGTAGATGACTAGTCTCCGTTGAAACTAGCTGGAATTTAGTCTGAAGGAAACCACTAACCACTTAGCAACGCAGTGTCATAGCCATAGTAAATTTTGTTAAATCAGGTTATACAACGGAAAGGCAGCTGAAAACGAATTGAAACAAATCGCCTCCGATCAGCACACCTTTGGCCAGGAATTGGTCAAACACAATATGATTGTGTTTCGGAACGGAGAAGGCGCGCTAAAGGTGAGTACAAATAATATAGACTAAACAATTTTGTTTGTTCACCGATCAACCATGTAATCATCAACCGTGTAAGAAAGCGCACTCTTTTTTAATTTTTTTGTTAGTTATAGTTAACAAGTAACAGAATATCAACATGGCTCATAAATATTTTACGGCATATCCGTATAAATCTGATATATTCTATTGTAAATTTATACCACTTACACGTACAATAAAACTACTGCCCACTGTGTATCATCTCCTGAACGTATTCATGTTCATCAATATTACTTCACGGCTATCTACCAGATGTCGCTAGTTTGCGACTGAGGCAAACTAATTTGACACACAGATTGCCACAATGTCATTATCATTGAGGAGTTAAAAAAAAGATTTTTCTGATTCTAGGGGGTACAATATCTCAGTTGTGTGCATAATAATATTAATTATTATTATATTCAACTCCTTTTGAATTAATAATACGAAATATAACTAATAAATCAGAAAGAAGAAATAATTTTTATATTCTGTACGTGGTAGAGCCACGCTGCAGCTATTTTATGGTTGTAGCACGAATGGGTCGGCTCGACCGGGAAAGGACCATGCTCTCCTACTACTGTGTTTCGTATGGTGAGTGTAAAGGTCCGGAGACCCTTTTTTACTGAAAACGAGGCATTCCATCTTAGTCCTTTGGGGTGATAACACATCTGCGTTTTGATTCTTAATCGAGGATATGTCTATGGGCCACAGCATCTAATTACCATCGGGTGGACTGTGTGCTCGTTTGTCAACCTTATTATATAAAAAAAAACTCACCTAACAATTAAACTGCCCCGTCATGAGATCTGTCAAATATCACCTCATTCACCCTGGTGGCAGAAAAAGTTGTGGCCCTCATTATCTTTCGTCAGTGTTTCCATAAGAACTTGTTTTATTTACTCGTACTAAACAAAGACACGTTTGAACTTTAGTGTTAGTTATGATGATGATTCGTTTTCAACAGGCAGACAGTTTTTATAGGTCTTCTTTTCTCTTGGTAGGAATCCACCTGTGTTCCGGTCTCAGGGGTAGAAAAAGCCAGCATAATCGGAGGTGTGAGGCATTCCATTTTAGTCCTCAAAGTGACAACACATCTGTAGCTTTTTTTTTGAATTTAACTGCAAGTGTCCAAGTACTGCAGTATCTACTTACGATCAAGTGGATTGTCTGCAAGCTTCTTTGTCACTTCATTTAAAAAAATGCTTGACGCTGACACGTGGCGGTTCACACCAGGTGCTGCCGGAGCTAGTGGACGTGGTGCCCGAGGCGCGGCTGAACCTGGCCAGTGTGCGTTTGCGGCGCGGCGAAGCGCTGGAGGCGCGCGAACTGCTGCGGCCCCTGGAGCCCAGCGCACCGCTGCACTACATACTGCAAGCCGTAGTCGCAGTGCGCCTGTACAACGACACTGGTGATGTGAGTGTTGCTGAATTACTGTTATCGTTACCGTTATAGTCTATTAAAGTCCACTGAACACAGACAGAACATAGACCTCCGCCATAGATTACCTCATTGGGGGATATAATTTGCCATAGTTACCACGATTGGCAAGCGGGTTGGTAGCCGCAGTTTTTTTTTGGCAACCGCAGTTCACGAGACACGTTATTATTATTTATACGATCTGCATTAACGCTCCTTTTAGGGTTTTAGATTCGGCATCGGCTGATCGCAAGATGCCGCTCTTTTGTTTAAATTGTGAGGTGGCGACGTACTATCGCTGTCGTATCCAAAATTACGGCTTTTTGAATTTTGTTCCTCACCCTCACAGAAATGCCCAGCTTAGCTAAATTGTCAGTAAGGGATTTAGGAAGAACTCCCGGGGTAGAGAGAATCAGCGGGACGATAAGTACCTGCTGCTGTCGGTTTAACTGTCGGATTTCTTCAGCTAACCGCTGGTACTTAATCAACTTTGCATTGCTGTACTTCTGCACATTATGCGAGTTTGGAATGCCAATATCCAACAACCACGTCCGCTTCTCCTCCTTTTCTTACTTACTTACTTATCTTCACGCACAATCCCTAACGGGGTAGCCAGAGAGAACAGATCGCCAAGTGTCACGATCCTTACATACCTCTTTCGCTTCTTTCAGGTTCATTAACTTCTTCATACATGCACGTCTAGGTATCCGAGTACTCTTGACCTTCCCCTCTTCGAGCAATTTGCTCATATGGTCTTCGAAAGTTAGTCTCGGTCTACCTCGACATTTTTTAATATTTAATTTCGCGCTATATATTTTCTTCACCATTCGGCGGTCTTCACTCATTCGCTCAACGTGCCCAAACCATTGGAGTACGCCCCTATCAATTTTTGTGATAAGGTCATCTTTCAATCTTGCCATATAATCTCTTCGTTTCGCTTTCGATCGGCTATGGTAACGCCACACATTTTACGAAGAGATCGCATCTCCACTGCATTCAACTTGCTTTTATGCTTTTTCTGGCATACCCAGGTTTCGCTGCCATATAACAAAGTCGGTACCAACACTGCGTTATGTATTGCAAGGCGTGTACTCTTCACCACGCCTTGCCTTTTGACTAATGCATTCAGGCCACCATTGACTTTGTTTCTGGCAGCGACACGCCTATCCACATCTAAATCACATCTTCCATCCCGGCTGAAAGCACTCCCCAAGTATACAATTTCATTTACCTGTTCTAGACATCCTCCTCCTTTTCTACTAATATTATGTCCGGTCGATTATGCTCAACGGTCCGGTCAGTTAAAACTGACCTGTCCCAATAAAGTTGGGCAAAATCATTCTCGAGTACCGGGGATGGAATGTATTTCCAGTAGGGTTCTGTCTATTAATTTTATAATTTTAGACTAAATACGCGCTAATAGTCCTAATGGTGACTCGACACTACAGCCAACAGACACCGTCAAAAACAGCGTTGTCACTCCAGAGAACTAAGATTAAATATCTCACAGCCAGTAATTAGGGTTCCGTACCCAAAGGGTAACCAACGGGACCCAACCTATTATGGATGCACCCCGTCATTGGACTTAAGTCAACTACGCAATTCGGCAATAAGCCACAAATTCAGAAACCCAATTTTCAGGAGACTGACGTTTCGATGAGGACAGCCCCTCCAAGGCCACAGCCCGGCTTTAGATTAAGCGAGTTAACTTTAAGAGAAAATAGCGGACAGTATTATGACGAGTACTATGACACGGACGAGTATGTAGAACAGTATGACAATGAACTGACACCATCCGCTGAGGAAACTATTGACGAAATGACTTATAACGAACTTACCGACGAATCTCAAACTCAAACTATTGAAAATTTTCACATGAAAGCCTCAATAGGAGACAAAAAATTATAGAATTAAATTGTGACCCGAATCTCAAATTACCCTATATTTATATTCGTGAAATAGATGCAAAATTAATGGTAGATACAGGTAGTACTAGATCCTTTATCAGCCCCCGTAAGGCATACCAACACTTTTATCAATATATAACACATGAACCATTCGAAGTAGTCAGCACCCACGCCTCTAGTAGACACGATGAAGTGATACAAATCCCTCTACCACCCACCTTTAAGAGTTTGGATTGCCATAAATTTTACCTATATGACGTCGACTCTCGTTACGACGGCCTCATAGGTAACGACCTATTGAAACAATTAGATACAATATTAGACCTTAAAGACCTTGTACTTAAAACCAAAACAACTTGCATACCAATAGTCAATAATAACTTAAATTACGTTATAACACTACCACCACGATCAGAACAGCGCGTAAAGTTGCCAACAGACCAGTGTTCTGGAGAGGCAATCATTGATTATAAGGAGTTTGTCAGCGGTGTACGAATGCCCAGTGCATTGGTAAACTGCGTTAACGGTTATGCCACAACAGTCATACAGAATGTTCTTGACAATGAGATGATATTGACAGTAACACGACCATTTACCGTTACTAAGTACGAGACTACTCAATGTGACATAAACTTTACGAGTACCTATGACGACATAGAGATCGATAAGATACTCGAATAAAATCTTAAGCTAAGACTTGATCACACTAACGATGAGGAACGCGACAAAATCTTTAGACTATGCCGAGAATTTAAAGACATATTTTACTGTGACAAACTACCACTGACCTTCGCTAATAAAATTAAACATAAAATACGTACAAAAAATGAAGACCCAATTTACGTCAGACCTTACCGACAGGCACCAATGCAAGTAGAAGAGATAAATAGGCAAGTAGACAAGCTATTAAAGGACAATGTTATTCAGGAGTCACATTCGCCATGGAATGCTCCTGTACACCTGGTACCCAAAAAGTTAGATGCATCTGGTGAAACTAAATTTCGCATTGTTATAGACTATCGACGTTTGAATGACATAACCATCGACGACAAATACCCACTACCAAATATAACAGATTTGTTTGACAAGTTAGGGAAGAATTCCTATTTCAGTACAATTGACTTGGCAAGTGGTTACCATCAAATTGAAATAGAAGAGCAAGACAGGCAAAAGACAGCCTTTAGCACTCAAAACGACCATTATGAATTTCTCAGAAAGCCATTTGGCTTGAAGATAGCTCCTGCAACTTTCCAGCGGACCATGGACAGTGTGCTAAGGGGATTACAGGGGATACACTGCATGGTATATTTGGACGATATAATTGTATTTTCAACCAGTCTGGAAGAACATATACAAAAGTTACGAACAATATTCGACAGACTTAGGACGACTAATCTAAAGATTCAACTAGACAAGTCCAAATTTTTAAGGAAGGAGGTTTTATATTTAGGACATAATATTACGAAAGAAGGGCTACGACCGAACACTGACAAAATTAAAGCTGTGCTAAATTTTCCTATACCTAAGACAACAACTGAAATTAAAAGTTTCTTAGGGCTGGTAGGGTATTATCGACGCTTCATAAAGGACTTTGCTAAGATCACACAACCCCTAACTGCATGTCTAAAAAAGCGAAATAAAATAATCATCGATGAAAAATATATAAGTGCGTTTGAAAAATGTAAGGAAATACTTACGAGTGAAAAAACCATTACTACAGTACCCGGATTTCGAAAAGACGTTCATCCTCACAACTGACGCCTCAAATATAGCTTTAGGAGCAGTTCTATCACAGGGCCCTATTAGTAGCGATAGACCTGTTGCATACGCTAGTAGGACGCTTAGTGACACTGAAAGTAGATATAGCACCATCGAACGCGAACTTTTAGCTATTATATGGGCTGTCAAACATTTCCAGCCATACCTTCACGGACGGAAATTTGTAATTTACACTGACCATCGACCCTTAATTTGGCTCTATTCATTAAAGGAACCAAACAGTAAACTCACCAGATGGCGACTACGATTACAAGAGTACGACTTTGAGATTATTTATAAAAATGGAAAACAGAATACAAATGCCGACGCCCTATCCAGAATTAAAATTAATGCACTAAATTCAGACGACGAAGGTCATTCTATGGACGTTAACTTCGACAGCAAAGAGTGTAAGCTTAGGGACCATTTAAAAGACGTTGTTAAGGAAATTGAAAAACTAAACGCTGAAAATAAAAGACATAATGACACGACGTCCACTGTAATAATATCTGACTCAAGTAATGTTCCTGCAAGCCCTATGTCTCTTTCCGACATAATATCGATTAGTAGTTCAGAAAAGGTTTCCGAATACCCAATCCTATCGCCTACAGAATCTAATAAATCCCAAACTGTGCATTCAGCCGTAGAATTAGAGTCGAACGGTATACCAATATTACATGAGGCTATCGATGCGAAGCCAAACCAAATATTAGTATTTTCATGGTTCAAAAATGAATGCCAGGTTAAAGATATTTCTAGAAAGAAACAAAAGGTACTAGAAGTATTTTTACCATTAGATAATTCCGAGTTAATAAAAGAATTTTTAAAGAAATATATTATGCCTAAAATTAAATATTTTATATATTTTGAAGGGGAAGAACATCGAAAACAATTTAGTAATATCATTATACACCTGTTCAAAAAGGACATGGTTCAATTTTTTCGAATGTACGGAACGAGTAGTTTTTGTTGAAGATGAAAAAGAACAAAGAGCGATTGTAGTTAAATATCACGAAGGAAAGACATGCCACCGGGGCATTAAAGAAACGCTAGTCAGAATCCGCAAAAATTACTACTGGGATAATTTACAAGAAACCGTTTCGGCAATAATAAATAGTTGTACTGCGTGTAAAAAAATGAAATACGACAGGAAGCCAATCAAACCTATACTTCAATTAACCCAAACACAAGATGCTCCGTTTCAAGAAATATTTATAGACCTGTTTAACATCGAAGGAAAGCATTATCTCACCCTTATAGATGCGTTTAGCAAATTAGGCCAAGCGATAGAAATTTCAAATAGGTCTACCCCCAAAGTAGTTCGAGCTTTGATGAAGTACTTTTCTTTTTACGGAATACCAAAAAAGATAAGTTCAGACCCAGGCTCTGAATTCAACAATGAATTAATTAAGGAATTCTTAAGCTTATATAAAATTGAACAACACATCGGAACCCCAAATAGCCCAAACTCGATGGGGCTCATAGAACGCTTTCACTCGACGATTATAGAAATTTATAGATTGGCAAAATACGAAAGAAAACCTACTGATGCGGCATCAGTTATGACGTATTCCATACTAGCATATAATAATACCATTCATTCGGTAACAGAGCTTACACCTTTCGAGGTAGTTTTCGGACACACCGACACGGGTAGCCCATTTAATACAGAAATTGATAAGCAGTATTTCCAACACTTAGTAAGAGACCATGCAAAGCGAACAAAATTCTTATACAAACATTTAGCAAAAAATATGGTAGCGATTAAAGAAAAAATTAGGGAAAAGCGAGGCGGTGAAGATGAGATAGCATTCCCGTGTGGTAAGACTGTATTTGCTAAGGATACCAACAAAAGAAAAAGCAAAAACAGGCCGCGATATGTTAAGGCTAAAGTAGTAGGCAAAGCCGAAAGAAATATAGTGCCAATAAAAGTAGGTGAAAGAAAGACTAAAGCCCCGATTAAAAATATCAAACGCCCTCCACAGGTGGTGCATACTGATGATTGCGATGCCGTTCCTGGCCCATCATCTGCAGTCACTTGAGGAGAACCCAGGGATACTTCCAGTAAAACAAGGACAAGCATATGCACAAACAGATCACTGGACTATAATAAAGATTTTAAATTTAGAAAATATTTATGACGACCTAAATCTAATTATTGCTCAATATCTTAAACTCAGTAAACTAATTGAAGTAAAAGAACCATACCCTCGCGAATTTATAAGCGTTAAAACCCATGCAGATCACATACGCGATTTAACCATTCAAAAATTTCAACAACTTATGCCGCAACGTTTTAAGAGAGGGATCCTAAATCCATTAAGGTCAGTTCTAAAAATTATTACGTGAAACCTCGATCATGAAGATGCTCTAAAGTATGATAAACTTACCTCGGAGTTAAGTCACAACCAAATTATCGTGACTAGGAAACTCACCTTGGTCTCTAAAATGTTGGACAGCTTTATTAATGCCACTGAAACCTTAAATAATAATTCCGTTATGCTAGATGCACGCCTAAAAAGTGTGGAGACAATGCTAAATCATCTAACGACTAGAGAAAATAACTGGGTTTTCTCTACATATATTTTTGGATTATTTAATTTATTTATAAGCAATTTTCGAACCATATTTGATAAATTAAATGAAATAGAGACTGCCCTAGCTTTTAGTAGAGTATCTATACTTCATCAATCTATTATAAATTCTACAGAACTCTTAGATCATTTAAAACTAATATCCAATACCGAAAATTTAGTGTACCCACCAACCGAAACTAATTTGGTAAAATTAGAACAAACCATAAGAGTAAAATCTTACCTTAAGAAAAACCAGATAGCATTTATAATGGAGATTCCGTTAACTGATAATAATACCTACAATTACTTTAAGGTTTATTCCGTACCTATTTTCCGCGAATCCGTAAACGAAACAATTACCATATTCCCAAAATATCCTTACCTCCTGGTGAAAGGGACGAAATACTTACCGGTTACGAAACCCTGTCGCCCGCTTGCTGCTGGTAATGATTTCCTGTGTACCGAAGAAAATAGAGCCCTCTACCCTGGACTTACCTGCATAGAACAGTTGATGAAATTTGAGAATAACCTTACTCGTTGCACGCAACACGCTATTATAATTGAAGACGTTAAAGTACAGCAAATTAAAGCAGAAAATTGGATTGTTTTTACAAAGCTAAGAACGACACTTACCAAACACTGCGATAACGAGATCAGCAAGCAACCCATTTTTGGAACCTATATACTAACCAGTGATGAGCCCTGTGACCTGGAGATACATGGTACTTACATTCATCACAACCGTGTTTACACAGAATACGAGGCAGCACTACCAGTTCCAGTCATCAACTTACCTCAAATACGTTCTACTACCAATGTAACAAGTACACGCGTAATTAACATGAATGGTGTCAACTTAGACGAAGTGAAGTATATGTCAAATGCTTTAAAACATAGTGAAATCTATTACACAGATTCAAGTGTCTTCAAAGGAGAAAGAGACTCTAACTTCAGTGTTCTAACATATGTAATTTTAAATTTTCTAGCCTTAAGTTGCCTATTGTTTTTAATATACTTATTAAGAAAAAAAATGTATGCCTCACTTCCAAAATTATCGTAAAAACATTAAAAATGATATTTCCGATAATTTTGCTCTTAGGGAGGGAGGAGTTATGGATGCACCCCGTCCCTCTGTTTTAGACTAGTATATTAATATATATTATATTGTATCATTTAGGCTAAGCAATAAAAGTAACACATCAGCATTTTATATAAGATTCCTAGTACTTAGTTGATGAGTCGAACGTCTGCGTACGAACAGACTCTTTAAGATTGATTCATTATTAAAGCCACCTCCAAATCGGTGAGACGTATTAATTTAGTTGTAGTTTAGTTTTTAAAAACTCCTTTCGACGTTCCCGAAATTTGACTACCTATTACTACTACTGCCTCCTACTACCTACTACTTGCCTATTACTAAGCCTCCGCTGTCCGTCCGTCCGTGTGTCAGCGGGCTTTATCTCATGACCCGTAATATAATATATTACGGATCATGATTAATAAGTAGGCAATTAAAATTTTCACAGAATGTGTATTTTTGTTGCCACTGTAACGAACAATAAATAATAAAAATTAAAATTAATTAAAAATTAAAAGAGGCTACCCTACTAGAAACGTGTTTTTACGATGGTACGGAACCCTTCACGCACGAGTCCGACTCGCACTTGGCCGATTTTTTTTCTAACTCTCTGTCTTCAAAGCGGAACATAACAGTGTGCTACTACTTATATTAGGTCAACTAAGGGGCAGAAAATGTTATCAACTAATTAACCCAGACTGACTCCTAAGCAGTCCATCTTGTAGACTTGCATGTTGCATTTATATTTAAGTTTAGTGTAACCATAAAAGATATTAGTTTTATATCTATGTCGAGACGAAAGAAACTATGATAATTTTTGTTCATTCTAATATATAACACTTCTCTAAAACTTGTGCTTTAAATACGAGTAAAACTCAATTTAATGTACACGATCGGTGCGCTATAATTAATTAATTAAGCCAATTTCATCAGTCCTGAACACAGTCACAAAGTAGACAGCGCACACTATCCGAAATGTATCCTGTAGAAGGTTTTCTACAGGATACATTTTGGATCGTGTGGGCAGGAATTAAATACTTTATTCCTCCCTCACTGTTCCACAATCGGACAACCAGAAGCTCGGCCAGTCTTTCGTTGTCACCTTACCACGTATTTGAACCAAACGGTTTCATCGTTCGTCATGCATACAGCAAAGGTGTAGTATAAGTTGCCTAAATCTGTCTTTCCATCCGATTACAATGTGGATGTCTTCAAGGCACGAGTGAATGGAATTTCGTTAAGTCAGTTTCTTACGTGGAAGAGTCACGTTGCAGCTATATTATAGTTGTAGCACGAATGGGTCGGCTCGACCGGGGCAGGACCACGCTCTCACAGAATACCAGAGTAAAATAGCAGCGTAATGCTGCTGTGTTTCCTATGGTGAGTGTAGAAAACCGAAGACCCTTTTTACTGGAATCGAGGCATTCCATCTTAGTTCTCAGGGGTGACAACGCATTTGCGTTTTGATTCTGTTCAGGATGGATGTAAATGTATATGGGCCACAGCATCCACTTAGCATTAGGTGGACTGTGTGCTCGTTTGTTACGCAATGCTATAAACAATTAACCATCTTCGGCTGCATAACCACTTACCACAAGTTAGGATAGTAGGCTAACACTGGCTTAGAATAGTCATTGTGTCATGTGTAACGTACATGTGTATTTAACTAAACGACCTCAAAATGGTGGCGACCCCCCCCCCTGCACCGCGCGCGATTCGTCACAGTCCTCACATAACAACGAATTCTTTGATCCTTTAACTATCGAATGGTTTAATTAAATTTTTGATGTAGATGATAGATATGAAGGTACAACAACAAACTGTATTCCACGATTCTTTATTATCTGTTTTCTAAATAGCCTCCTACTATGAAAGCACATTTAAAGCCGTCAAAAAATAATTATTTAAATTCACATATCAGGAGGAGCAAATGAAAATAGCGCAGCAGAACTTCCACATAGTGGGCAGCTCGGCATCGGAATGCGATACGATCCCCGGCCGACAGTGCATGGCCTCCTCCTACTTCCTGGCCGGCCAGTTCGATGAGGTGCTCGTGTATCTCAACTCTATCAAGAGCTTCTTTGTGAATGACGACACGTTTAATTTTAATTACGCACAGGTAAGTTAGAATTGTTGGAATAGTTGTGGAATTGTTGCAGCAGTGTAAGAGACTGACATCTCTTATCGTCCCGACAGGGTTCAGGTTCGGAAAAAAACCTCTGTTCTGGGAAGAACCAGAATTAAAAAAATATTAGCTTACTATCATGTATGTTACAATTAACAACAAATAATAAATTAGAAATAGCTTAGTAGCGATCACCCTTCCCAGGGGTATTATCAACCATAAATTCCTTCATATTATAATAACCCTTTTTATACAAACTTAGTTTAGTTAAGTTTTTAAACTTTATGCAGGTCAAATTTTATATGTTTTCTGTGATTTTGTTGTAAAAGCGTACATCGCCTTAAGAATGAATTACTGACTCGGTGGAGTCGAGTAACCGAGATGTCAGAAAGATTTCCTAAAAAGATGTCCTGATAAAATCCGCCTGGTAAGTTACTGCAGCCAATGGTCACCTTTAACCAATTTCAATCAAATAAGGCCATAGAGGCGTTGTCACCTCTAAGGACTAAGATGGAATACCTCACAGTCTGTAACCAAACGTTTATGGCAAGTCCTATACCTACTGTATATACCTACTGTGGGTAATGGCAAGTCCTACACCTACTCTGAGAAAGGCTCGTGTCAAACACTGTCACTGAATGACCCCGGAAGAACGGTACTGACAACACTAGTACATGCTTTCATACTATCATGTGAAATGCGAATTGTTATGTCCGACCATTAGTTTTAAATTTTGGGCATCTTTTTTTAGTTACGTTATAGGACATTATTCAGTTACCGATGGGCTTTTATTCGTTTTCCGTTCTGTTATACTATGCTAAATAATATAAACCTTTAAAAAATTGACAAAAAAGAGGCTTTCTGCTCCGGCCAGAGGAACCTCATTTTGAAACGGTAGTAAAGGTTTGAAAAAAGACATTTGACAAAAAATATAAGAAATAAATATATTTTGATTAATTTTTTTTAATTTAAAGTTATTTTATTTCGTACAAAAGCGTTGTTTCTGAAGAAATCGTGGCAGTGTAGCTTCAACCCTTATTAAGTCCTTATCGCACTCACTACGCAATAATTTTAATATTGGACAAATAAACTAAGATAACTTTCGGGAATTGGTGTAAAAGTTTTGTTTTAAAAGTACCTTCCGACCTACGCATTGTAACTAAAATGAAAAAAAAAAATGTTTGCAGTGATTTCAATTATTTAAGTGAGTGTCATCAGAGACCACAGAGGGAAATTGAAACTGGAAATGAGCAGCAGCAGCATTTCCTGATAACAGCTGAATAAAAATAACAAGCTGCGGTTGCCCACCTGCTTGCCAAACTATGGAAATCCTCATATGAGGCAATCTATGGGGAAGGCAGGGGAAGAATATGTTCGGCAGTGGACTTTTGAAAGGCTGTAATGATAATGAATTTATAATTACTTAATTAATTGACATAGACTATACTAAGCGTGAAAAATTTTAGGCCAAAGCTGCTACGGGGTTCTACCGCGAAGCCCAGGAATGTCTCTTGGCTATTCAGGACGAGGAGATTCGGAGCTCCTTCACGTATCTCTCGTGCCTGTGCCGGTGTCACGTCATGAACAAGGAGGCCAATCTCGCCTGGGAAATCTGTTCTAAGGTATACTTTTCATGTTCCGAAAATCGTAAATAAAAATTTTGATGTAAGGAAAGGTTCCTTATGCTAAGTTCCCCAAAGGGAAAAATCGGAACCTTTATTGGATCACTTTGTTGTTTGTCTATACATCTGTCAAGACCTTTATTTTTTGAAATATTACGGTAATATCTATTAATAATAGTATATTTGGAAATATAAATCCAGTGCCCTCAACCACTTCCGGCCTATCCCGATTTTGCCGCTTTTATCACAAGTTTTAGGAGCTGTAGCGCACAAACAGATACAAACTTACTTAACTAAAAGCAACTTATTAAATCAACACCAATCAGAATTTCAACCCGGACATAGCACCACATAGGCGCTTTTAAAAATAACGGAGGATGTGCGTGATAACATGGAGTTTGGAAAGTTGACAGTATTAGTCTTAATCGGTTTTTCTAACGACTTTAATACCGTTGATCACGATATTCTCATCGCCATCTTGTCCCACATAGAGTTTTCCTTATCAGCACGGAATCAGGTATCCTTCTATCTTCGTGGTCGCCAGCAGGTGGTCTGTGTCGGCGATATGGTTTTCGATTTGTGTGACTTAGCCAGGGGTGTTCCGCAAGGCGGAATTCTCTCTCCATTACTATTCCCTATATTTATTAATATGATTACTTGCAACTTTCGTGCCTTCGTGCCTACCATATGTAAGCCGACGACCTTCAACTGTATGCTCCTGCCAATGTTACTAAAATGAATAATGCTGTAAGCGTGATTAACTCCGACCATAGTTGGATTCTTAATTGGTCAAGAAGATACGGCGTCACTGTTAATCCTAGCAAATGCTACGATATATTCTTAGGCAGCGCACATCAATTTAGCTAAGCTTTGTTGCACAGATCAGATCCACTGATTTATAATGGCGAGGTAATTCCGTACAGCAATCGTTGGATTGTTCTCTTACTTGGCGCAGTCATGTTAAGGGAGTTAGCCGAAAAGTTTGTGCTTCTTTGAGACAATTGTACAGATTTAAAAATATTTTACCGCCTTGTACGAAGATATTTCTAATTCAATCTCTTATTCTTCCTATATTTGATTATGCCGATGTGTGTTACTTAGATGCAGACAATTACTTAGTCAATAAATTGGATCGACTTTTTAACAACTGTATCCGTTTCGTATTCGGTCTTTGAAAATAATGCCACGCCTCTTTCTATCGCTCTCAACTTACATGTTGAATATCCCACAGAAAAATCTTAGAATTCTTAGCACTTTTTTCAGTATCCTTAACGATCCATTGGCCTAGAGTACACCTCAGAGTTTGAGAAAAAACAGTATGGTGAGCGGGAATTTGTAGTACGAGATTGTTATGCGACCGAAGATGGCTATAATGGGAAGAACCTGGGTTCTTCAGAGTACAAACGAAGAGGTCGGTTTGACCAAGGAAGGACTACGCTCTTAGAGAATAACTGCGTAAAATAGCAACTCAATGCTACTGTGTTTCGTATGGTGAGTGTAGCGCAACGGAAACCCTTTTTACTGGAAACGAGGCATTACATCTTAGTGCTCACGGGTATATATCTATAGGCCACAGCATCCACTTAACAACACGTGGACTGTGTTAATTTGTCATACTTATTTTTAAAAAAATATACAATAGTGTTCACTTAAAAAAATATAAAGATGTCATTATTTATTTATTTATACACTTTATTGTACTGAATGTACAAACGGCGAACTTATTGCCATATTGCATTTTCTATCAGCCAACCGGAAATTTAGTGGGAGAAGTGTGTATACATGGATATTTATGTGTCAGATGAGCGTAAGTAATATTCTCTATAATATTCTACGGCTCATGAGCCATGTACCGGGAATTGGTACACGTTCATGGCAATGAGTTTGATTTTGTTATCGAATTAATAAAATTTTGTTAACAGGCGTCCGGGAGTCCGGACGGCTTTGCTCTGCTGCAGCTGGTTGCGAATGACAGTTACCGCATGGGTCAGTTCCTAGTCGCGGCGAAAGCATTCCACGCGCTCGATAAGTACGGACTTTTATGTATTATGCAAGTAGGATATGAACAGAATTGTGACAAACTAAACTGACAATTACACTATAAACCAGTATGAGTAACTAATACCAGCAAAAATTGTATGTCTAGTCTCCCATAGAACGGCCGCCGTGACCGAAATTCGGTCAGTAGGATATTATGTTTTATTATTATTTTGGAACATCTTTAATAAATATTAAATAAATAAATTAAATACCTTACCAGATGAAAGCATTCGGCAGGCGCGACCAAACGGTCGAGGGTTAAAAGGAAAGGAATTTATCTCGGAGCGGTCCGTCACCGAGTTTTAATCGTTTCAGGTGACTCGAGAGGCTGACCTGGATTGGCCCTTATTTAAAACATCATTATTATTAATAACAATGTTCTCTAGACCAAATTCCGGTTACCGCGGCCAGTCTTAACGGAGACTAGCCATCTGCGCGGGACAGGATTATTTTGCCAGTGTATGAGTACCACAGGTGCACTGTCTATTCCGTTACTATTATATTCCGATGGTGCGCGTAATCCGACACAACCAAAAGGAGATCAGGCTCAGGACCAACAACTTTACGTAATTTGCGAGTCCCGTGAGTGGAACACCGTCAATTTCCTAGTTCTGGGCTACTGTTGAAATTTTTTTGTCAGAGAAACTCAATTACGTGAAAAAGCCATGCTGCAGTTATGTTAGTAGTATAGTTGTAGCACGAATGGGTCGGCTCGGGGATACCACGCTCTCACAGAATACCAGCGTCAAATAGTAGCTTAATGCTGCTGTTTCGTTTGGTAAGTGTAGAGAACCGGAGACCCTTTTTACTGGAAACGAGGCATTCCACCTAAGTCCTCACGGATGACAACGCATCTGCATTTTGATTCGTAATCGAGGATAGATGTAGATGTCTATGGGACACAGCAACCACTTACCATCAGATGGACTGTGTGCTCGTTTGTCATCCTATCGTATATAAAAAAGACGTGTGGCACTCGGGGACTGCCGCGGTAAAGCTATTGCATAGCATTTTGTATCAACTTATGCAATTATAATTATTTATTTATTTTATTTATGCAGTATTTCTTTTTCTTTGATATTAATTCAAGTTACTTAGGTTAATCCAATCAAATTCAACCAGATTTAACCGAACCCGCGTTATAACGAACTCACTATTTGTGAAAAATACTGTATCACCGGACCGCGTCGCAAAAAACTCAGGTTCGCGCAGTACATACGTCAGGGGCAATTATATTAACAAGACGCACAACTACTCAGTTCCACGCTCCACGGCAAGATTTGTCACTTATTATTTATTGTCCAATTAATTGTCTTTAAGTTCAAATGGCACGCTCTATTAACATAAGTCTAAGACAAAACAAGGAGCCTTTCAATATATGAACAACCCGGCTTCGCGCAAAAAGTCTCGCGACCCCTATAATGCGACCGGAGAACGTCATCGGCGCAGGCGCCGCGTGCCTAGCTAGGAGAGCGCCCTAGCGGCGGGCCGGGTGCAGCCCGGCCCCGCCGTCTGCTCCCTAGCTCGGCTCGATGCCAACAGGGGTGACTAAAGATGGGCGAAACTGTTATATTTTTCTAATTCGTTATGTTGTTGTAATATATTTTTCTAACTGTTGTTTTAAACTGTTATAATATATTATAACAGTTTTAAATATTACATTGTACACGCGGTTAGTTCAGTTCAGTCGTCGGCTGTGTTCGCGTTTTGTTTAACGAAAAATAAACAAAAACAACAATAGCTTTTTCACGTAATATGGGGACTTGCTATCAAAACATTACGTATATAATTTAACAGATAACAGTGTCATTGTCATCTCAGCTAGACAGCTAACTGAACACTAAACTGATATATTATATATTACAACAGCCAAACTAAATAACAGGCACAACAGGCAACTAATGAAGGAAATAATATATTTTTGTTTACCGTTATAATTTAGTGAACTTATTAAGTTAGCTTAGAGTTTAAATTAGTGTAAGCTATACGCAATCCTTGTGGCATAATGAATGTAGGTAGTATTTTATTGACTCCCATTGTCTCGGCCGACGCGACGGTTGGACCGTAAACGTAAACAGATGACGCTTTCTAACGATAATGAATATAATATTATAACAGTCAATGGTTCATTATTCTAATGTGTTGTGAGATTTAAAATATATAATGAAATATATTATCTGTTGTATGTTATAACGCCCAACTTTAGGGGTGACCGACCGCGCGCACTCCCGCACCTCACTAATCGTCGCTTCACACCGCTTGAGATAAGACGATCTACTATCAGGCGCTAACAAACCCCCGTCCCGGACATAAGGACCTATGTCCGCGAGTAAATTGGCAATTAGAAGATGCTTTGTATTGTTGGTTTTTACAAAAACGATCAACTGGGCAAATGATATCTGGCCCTTTGCTTTGTGAAAAAGCATTACAGTTAAATAAAAAATTAGGTGACGGCGGATCGTTTGTCTCAAGTAACGGATGGTTATATAGATTTATATCTCTTCATGGAATTTAATCAATGTTTATTAAAAAATAATAATTTCTTAATAAACATTGATTTTCGTTGAAATTGTTGTTTTTAATAAACACATAACATTATGTATGTACATATGTACTACAAATGCACAAAACCCGCTTTTCTTCATACATTCGATCATCCAGATTTTCGATTATCCGAATCCCTTTTTTTTTTTTTGAATGGGGAAATGCCTACGCATACCCGCCTCGCGGGGGCAAGGACGGGTTATGTCGGACTCGCACCGACTAATACCCCATGGTGTTCCACCTTTGTCGCATATTGGCAGGGCTACGGGAACGCTTTCGCACACATCCGCGGCCCTACTAGCGCCTGCCGCCCCATGGCAGCACCTCCTCGGGAGAGGAAAATTCCTCCCCGTTCTCCTTCCCAGGTAAGGCGCACCAGAACACATGGCGCGCCTTCCTCCACGGCCTCCAATTACGTCCGTGCAACAGACGCCCCCGCGTCCGATGCACAAAGGCCATGGGGCCAGGAAAAACGAGCACTTAGAAGTACTAGCCTTCCCGACCCCAGCGGCGGATCTGGTCTATGGCTCCGCCGCCAACCAAGATTCGGCTGCGGAGGGTAGGGAGAGCGGCGCCTCGCAATACCGACAATCCTCTCCCCTCGCAGCCCCACCACCACCGCATCAACGGTGCGGCCCCGTTTGAGTCGCGAAGGATAGGGCGACTGGCGCATCGCCATACCAACACTCCTCTTCCTCCGCGACTCCACCTCGGCTGCAGCGGTAGAGGGTGCACGAGTCCCCACTCGCTGCAGTCCACCAGCACACATCCGAAGTGGGCTCCCCAAGCCCACTCGGAGTGGCCACCTCAGGCCGGCCCTTCACCTCGGGCCAGCCACGTGGATTCCTCTTTGTTCACCGTGGGAGACCAAGCCACGGCTACTAAGCCCCCCCGCCACGACAAGGCGGGAACCCGTTCGGGGGGGATTATCCGAATCCCTAACGGCAACAATTAGTCCGGTTAATCGAGTATATATATACATATTGAGAATCTAAATTGAGAATTTAAACTATACGCGTGTGTGTGTTTGTGTGTATATAAAGAGGGCTACTTTTAATATCGCTCATTTTAATATCAAAAATTTAGGTTATCTTTATAGCAGTATTATATTTTCAATTCAAAATTAGTACTGCATTTGTGATATTAATAAAATGTAGGTATGTATATAGAGTACTCACTCATTTTCTTTCACTATATTTTCGTAACTTTCTTCATTAATAATAAATCCACTTTGTTCATTCATATTCAAAATTTCAAAACACTTTATACACAAACACCGTGTCGAAGACTGAGGAAAAGAAACGACGTTAGACCATCGTTAGACAATGCACGGCCTTCAAGCCACACCTCCGTGCCCGTCGGAGAGCGTGAGGTTTTTTTCGTTACGGAATTTCTGGATTTTCCCGCACTCAAGGCCCGCGATAGAAGCTATGCAATAGCTTAAAAACTGCGTTTCTTTTTCGATCACTGGACTAAAGACGCAGTCCACATTGTTAACATTATTGTTATAAATGTGGTGTCCATAAAGGCTGGACGGTGGTCCGGAGATGTGGGAGGGTCTACGCGGCGCGGTGTGCGGCGCGGCGCAGGCGGCCGCCGCAGGTGCGCCGGGCGCGGCCGCCGCCCTGCGCGAAGCACTCGCACTGCTGCGGGGCCCGGGCTCACGTCCCGGCGCTGAGCACATCGTGAGGCCCATCACGAAATGGGCGCAGCAGAACAGGATACCGGTCTGAATACGGCACGAGACGTGTGTGATGGCTTATAGTTGGAGGAAACGCTTAGTTATAAGGAACTACGAATGTTGTTTTTTGTTGCGTTAAGACGATCACAATAAATATTACACGAAATTACATTGTGTTTGATTCTTTCCATAACCTATGGAATTGTTCAGTGCAAGCACTTTTTTGAATCGGTAATGGAGCCGTTGATGGCCCCACCACACACCACACCATAAACTTTGTGAGAAATGGCAAACCTGATATAAGTTTTATTTCTCAGTCATACAAAAATATAAGTGGGGGTACTTACGATATTTACCTTAGAACCACCACTTACAGGAAGGCTGTACAATAAAGGATCCATCGGCATGATCCTAGATGAAAATATAGAATTAAAACAAAATTAACGTTTCAAAAAGCCTAAAGACATAGTTATTTGATAGTTTTTGTCAAATTGTAGTGAATATTAAAAAGTAAGATGAGAATCATAGGAATCATGATATACTATTATACTCAATGAAAATTTTAAAACTATATTAATTGATTTCAGTTTTAATTTTAGGTTTTTAATGTTCTTGCTTTTATGAAACTCAATTCTTACACCCATCTTTCAAAATAAATTAAGTTAATGTTAAAATGACATTAAAAGCTCACCTATTATTTAAAGTGGTGGACAATAAAATTAGGCCACCTACCAAAGTGATTGTCGTGACTGTTCAAAATAAAAACTTTTTAATTTTTTATTAATTGTATGTTAATTCTTAAATTAAATAATGTATTTTTAAATTAACCATCTTTATTTTTTAACAATGCAAAAGCAAAATAAAAAATGTTGAAAAACATACTTCACACTGATAAAAAAATTCTATGGGATTAAGGTCTGGACTTCTAATCTTCTGATGCTGGCTAGTCTACTACTTCCCGCAAGTAATCTCTAACGAACAGCGCAGTATGGGCGCGCGCATTATCGTGTGTTAATTTAAATTCTTGACCGATAAAGCCTGAATATGGCACTACATGCACTTCAAGAATATCAGTGTACGAATCAGCAGTCACAGTTCCTCTATCTACGAAAACCAGCTCTGTACTGGCTTCTAAGCTTAAACCTCTCCAGAACAAAACTGAACCACCTGCAAAACTTAATCTTTCAGATATGGCACATTGTGTATATCGTTCTCCCTGTCTACGATATACTCTTTTGCGATCATCACCACCATATAGACACATACGAGAGTCATCAGAAAAGAGTACTTGCCCCCACACCGTCCAGTCACAATGTTCACGAGCAAAATGTAATCTTGCTGCCTTATGAGCTGTGGTAAGTTTAGGAACTGTTGCGGGTCTGTACGGTTTTAAAGCACGTTCTTTATGGCGTCTTTTTATTGTCCTATCACTTACAGTGACACATCGGATATCTCTTAGCTGTCCGCTTTCTCTTTTTCACTTTTGAATTTCATTTCTCTGTTTTCTGTATGTATTGGTCTCAATACTGTATTATGTAGCTTTAAAGAAAGCAGCGAGTAGTTTCAACAAAAGTATTTTATAACTTACTGGAGCCACCTCAATTTCTGTAGTGCATGACTATGTATGTATTGAGAAACATTAAACAATTAAATCTATAATAAAATCTATATAGTTTTCTCATCTGGTTGGGTTCCATAAATATATAATTGCGAACGAAAGTGATAAATATACATAAATACATAACAGTAAAATAAAATAAATACACAAAAAATACATCAATAAATAAAAGCCCAACCAGATGGAAGCCCTCGGCAGGGGAGACCAAACGGCCGAGGGTTAGGAGGAAAGAGAAAGAAACCGGCGGACAATGCGGGCGGTATCGAGGAGCACCGCCTTCTGCATTTGAGCCCGGCGCAGTCCGTCACGGAGTCCCAATCGCCTAAGATGAACCGAGAGGCTGACTGGGATTAGCCCGTTTGCAGAAACGACTACAGGTATAACTTCGGTCGACAGCCCACCCCATATGTCGGTCATCTCGTGAGCCAGGTTCAGATATTTTGTTTGCTTATCTGTTTCGGCTTTCACGAGGCTCTCGTGATACGGAATGGTAATGTCGACCAAAAATATTCTTGACTGTGCCCGGTCCATCAGCACAATATTATTTTAATTATTATTATTATAAGTTCTTAGTTGTCAAATAAATATACATCCGCTGGCGTATATCGATAACTACTTGACAGAGATCCAGCGACCATTATTGCTAGGGAAGTATTGCTAGGGATTTCAGGATTAGAAATCAGACGTCTCACTAATGTTCGCTGCTTCTCATCGCCAGTTTTAAAAGGATATAAATATTAAGATGGATCTCTACACGTTTCACTCTCTTTAGTTAGCCCACTTTTCGATAAGTCGCTAGTGTCGTGTGATGACAAAACCGGCATGTAATGGGATGAAGAAATAAATCTTATGAGGACGTTTCAATGATTCTGGTCGTAGCTATGAGCTACGAGTATATGAACATGAGCTGTTAAAGTTACCACTCTTTACAGGCTGGGTAGCAACAGCTTTTTATTATTTAGAGCTGTTATCAGAAAGATGCTGCTGTTTTACATTCTCTATATAGCCTCTTTCGAGTACGACACCCACAGGATAATGTAGGGCAGTAGATTCCCTAACGCCGCTCGTACAGGTATTTCTTTTTAAGGATGTTGTATACAATAATAATAATAATAATGTCCTTCAGACCGAATGTCGGCCACGGCGGCCTGCCTCAACGGAGGATAGCCATCGGCGTAGGACAGGATTATAGTGCCCAAGTGTATGCGCAAGCACAGGTGCACTCTATATTCCCTCACTCTCGTAATCCGATGGGATGGTAAACCGACACAACCGGGAGAGAGATCAGGGCGCAGGACCAACGGCTTTACGTGCTTTCCGAGGCACGGGGGTGATACTTCGCCAACTTCCTGACTCCGGGCAGCTACTGAGAATTTCTTGACAGAAAAACTCAATAATTGATTTTTGGCCCGACCCGGGATTCGAACCCAGGACCTCATGATCAGCAGTCGCACTGCTACAACCACTAGACCAACGAGGCAGTCATTGTATTTGTATATAATATTAATGTCACAAACAACGTTAGTAAGTAAGTAAACTTTTCTTACATGGTAAAGCCACGCTGCAGCCATACTATGGTCGTAACACGAATGAGTTGGCTCGACCGGGATAGTACCACGCTTTTACAGAAAACTACAGCGAAAAATAGCGGCTTAATTCTATGTTTCGTGTGGTGCGTGTAGTACATTTAAACTCAAATATACTTAAATATCATATGATATTATAAAAAAATCAAAATTCTAACTTAGCCTACTACAGATCGCTATAAATGGCAATTATTTAAAAATATCGCTAACTAGTAAGTAACAAAAACCAAACTCAAGTGTAAAAATTCTCCTTGCGAATTTCCCCAAATGGTATCAACATTGGACACCTGTTTATCAACTTGTGGTATATATTACAAAGATCATTTAAGAAAACAACATATTTGCACTCGCATTGCACATAAGTTAAAGCTAGTATTGCCTAATTACAACGACGAGTTTTTCTCGCGTTTAAGGCTCATACCGTAGCGCAGTTTAGATTAGTTGCATATTTATAAATAATTTCCTAATAGTTGCGCAGTGAAACCGGTCAGTTTAAAAATAGCACAACGTGTACCAACATGTAACCTAATTACTGGCAACGTGGCTTTTCGTGTGTTAATGTTGCCAGCGTAACAACCTACATAATATTTGAACACGTTTTTAAATGTGCGAAAAAGCCAACCGGCATAACTTTCCCGGGGCAACGGGAAGGTTATGTCGGACTCCTGTCAGCTAAATCCCCACGGTAGTCACAAACGGCGTAACCAAGAGGTCCTGGGATCTCCATTCGAAACGCTGCCGGAGTCTTTCTCGCTTTATTGAAATCTCATCCTGAAGTACAAGTGTACTACCCCCAGCAACTTCACAGTACTATAGATAATGTTGTCTAGATACTCTTTCGCGTCATCGTCCTCCTCGGGGAATTGCATTGCTGGGCCCTAGAGGTAAATAATATAATATATTATTTGATTTACAAATATTACATTTCAACTCTATTTTTTTTTTATTGCAAATGTATAAATGTGTGCTTCTTTGTTTCTTTTTATATCGGCCTAGGCCTCCCTGTATAGACGATCAAAACGTTAGGTCACACATTTTAGGAGGTCTAGAAAGTGTGAAAGAAGTGTGAGCTGCGACAGAGTCTCATGCTTTGTAGAATGACATTTTACACTTGGTAGAGCCACGCTGCAGTTGTATTATGGCTGTAGCACCAATTGTTCAGCTCAATCGGAGAAGGAACATGTTCTCATAGAATAGCATCATAAAATAGCAGCTTAATTTTGTTATGTTTCATATGGTGAATGTACCGAAGAATTTTTTTACTGAAAACATCAGGTGCACTGTGTATCAGTGTCACCCTTATGCTATGAAAAAAGTCACAAAATATATTCACATACACATCTAAAAGTCGTAAAACTTAAAGTTCTAATTATTAAATAGAAATTTTATTTTCATATTTATCAACCCAAACCTATACGTGAGCCTCTCCAACCGTAGGTACCACTTTCCGTAACCACTACGCTTGGCACGCAGATTTCAGTTCCAGACATCTAATTTAATCAGTCGAAGGCTATGAGATTATCCTGGTATTTTTTTATTTATTTATTTATTTAACTTCATATACACATTAGATGTATATAGGCGGACTTAATGCCTGAGGCATTATCTACCTGACTACCTTAGAGTAGTGCAGAGATAAAAGAGGTAGGTGTAATAAGAAGTATGTACAATACATATATACATATATACATTTACATATACATATATACACATATATAAACTCATACATATATAAGCGTATAAAAATATACATATATAAACATTGTGTAAGTATATATACATAAAATTAAACATATATATATATATACATATATATATATATACATACATACACACACACATATATATATTAAATATAATATTTTCCCAGCCGCCTCTCACCACACGTGAGGCTTGGTGAGGTGTTGGATTCTTTTACGCTCTACACTCTTTTGTTTTAACTGATCACATTAATTCTGCTAGATATTAGATCTTTTAGTAATGTGCCAACTACTGGCTTATTGTTACAAGGTGAGCAGTCGAATACGTTGAAACAATTGTCTCAACTCACCAAGTTGAGCAGGCATCTTGATGAGCGCACAGCCGATATGTTGGTCTTGCTGTGCAAATAGCAAAATATAAACTTCTCTTTTTAAATAACCTACCCAAATAATAGGTCTTATAACGTTAAATGTCATTAAATATAAATTTATTTAGCTTAAACTTTAATGAGAAAAGAAATGTATGTGTTAGCTCTAAACATCACTCCATAAATAATAAACATATTTGGTGTAAGGTAAAATGAAGATGCCAATTACCGCAAAACTTGCATTTATTTATAAATTCTTACATAATATTTACATTAAAGTAATACAACGCGTCAAGATCAAATCCGTAGCAACAGTCAAAGCAGTACTAAATAAATAAAAACAATTAATTACGATTCCACGTTACACTGCGAGGTCATTGTTACTGCTGTATTGCCGAGCGGACATCTGGAATTATTCAAAATACTCGACAACCCTAACGTCATACAACCCTCTATTACTATCTTTGCATAAAATACGTACGAAACGGCTCTAGTATTTCCTTTATTTACTAAATTATGCTGTAACAATTACAATTAAGGATTTCGACTATCTCGATCCTCTACCAATTCTTCTTTTCTATATCGAAACCAACATTAACTTTGCTTCTGCCTAAATCTTACCAGATGTGCAAGTATAGCACACAATCATTAATTCGCCATAAGTGAAAAAAGGTAGAGGCCGTGATTTCTAGCGTATCATACGAGAGCGCTGGCGACGCCTAATACCGTTTTTCTTTTTGATATCCTAAATAAAATGGTTGTAATGACCTAGCAAACCGACTGCACCGATCAGCAACACAGCAGTATAGTTGTCTGTGTGTGACTACTACCACGGGTGGCCGAGGGAGGCGGGAAGTGCGATTTTGGCTACTGGTGCCGCAACTGCCACGGGTGCTGCCGCTAACACCTTGGTCGCAACTGCCACGGGCGCCTGTAGAAAAAAAAAATCATTTTTATATTGTGAATTGTGAGAAATTCTGTTATTTAGCAACTTGTAGATTTTTTTATTTTCTTTGCCTTATGATAAGGGAATCCACCATCCCATTTAGTTCCAAAGATGTCGTAAGAGCCGTCTATGGGAAATGCCAGAAAATTATGACAAAGACGAAAAATACCCAGATCCGCTACGGGCGGCAACGTCAAAGGTTCCAGACGTCTGAAAATGCGATCACCAAACCGCCTGCCAAGCGTGATGATGAAGGCAAATCGTCTCTATAGTGGGAGACTCATGTTCTGTGGTGGACTATTAGGCTGATGAAAAAGAACAAGTTTAATTCAACTTGAAATTTTATGTTATATATATATATATAGTCTTCCTAATAGTAAAGTAAAGTAAAGTTGCAGCCTATATACGTCCCACTGCTGGGCTCAGGCCTCCCCCTCATTTCTGAGAGGGTTTTAGGGCAAGGAAGTGTCCGCCGCGCTGCCCAAATGCGTGTTGACGAACTTCACATGTCTTCGAAATATTTTTATTTTATTCCTCAGACATGCAGGTTTCCTCACGATGTTTTCCTTCACCGCCGAGCACCTGGTAAATCAGCACTTAAAATTGCAATTAACAATTTCATTGGTGCCGGCGGGGATCGAACCCGGGTTACTTGCGTTCTGTTATATTTACAGCGAGCGTTAACCACTGAGCTACCACGGCTCAGTCTTCCTAATAACAACTATAAACTTAAAAAACGCGGTTGCTAACCCGTCTGACAACTATCAGGCAATCTATCAATATATAATTATAATCTATCCTATGTGGACTTTGGTAAGCTATAAAGGTAACACTGTAAGGTAAGTGGTTTACACTTATTTAGTCAAATGCTTGCTTTGGCGTTGATATATTTGTTGATTAGGTTTCTAAGTTATACATGGTTATTTCTGAATAACCGGCCAAATTTGCAAACAAGGTTCGGAATGAGTAATACAGGCGAATGTAAATATTAATTCATTAAAAAAATCTCAAATATTGTGTCCTTTTGATCTTTGAAATCAGAGTGCGTGGTAATGCATTATTTTTGCTGATTGTCATTCATAAATATCTAACGCCTGCTATTTTACTTCGCACGCACACATTCGTAAGGGTAGATCGGAATCGCATACAGAAGAGGGCGCGTACGCGTATTTGTTGGCCATAAATCGCATTAGTTTATGATAACTTTTTGTAAAAACTAATCGAGAAACTGCGTAACCTTACAAACATTTAATGATGATGGTTTCTCAAGATGTCCAAGTAGACAAAATAATACCCTTTGCAAGATACGAAAAAACATGTGCGGCATAAAATATAACATAAATCATGTATAATATAATTTTATAATAAATAAATGTTACAATCCTTATTTTTAGACTTATAGAGCCTAAATTTTGGGTGTAAAAGAAATAAAAAAAGTTGAAGCCTTATTTACTCTTATTTTCAAAAACTGCAATAACGTTATATCGTTATTTAAACATTTGGACTTAAGTATAAAATTTGGCTACTTTTCGAAAAATAACCCTGTATATCAATGTTTTGATATAGTTCCGGGTAGAGCTCGATCGCTACTGACATTTGTAATATGAACTAACATCAGAGAGCAGAGAGGATAACATTTTACTTTCTTGATTCCAATAATAGTGAAATAATTATAGGCTGAATGGCTGAGAATTTAATAACGTAAAATTTTGATACCTACATCCTACAATCTCTAATGCAATTGCATCTTAATATCTAGTGACAAATCGTCTTCACTCAGCACTATCAACATTTCTTATGATATTGGAATTACAAACGGGTTACTTGAAATTAGTGGCCTGCTATGGTCCATCGGCACCTGCAACCGACTTCACTTCTATCAACCTTCAAACACAGCAGTGGGTGCACTGGTACTTGGCAGCAGTACCAGTGCACCCACTTACCAGTACTCACTTACCCAGTACCGGTAAGAGGGTGACACCGACCCAGATGTCTTACTAGGATGAAACTATGTTCTAGAATTTGGTATATATTTCCATAGATTTATTAAGTCAAAATGTTATTTACCGGGTGAGTAGCACCAGATCTCTCAACAACGGCGTTGAACCCGTTGACCTTGTCGGCGGTGTAGGTGACCTTGCGGACGTGACCGTCGGGTTCCACGAGACTGTAGGAACCGTGGATGACGCCGTTCTGCAGCGTCTCCGTAGCGTCCTTGTGGTCGCCAGTTGAGGGGTCATTTACTCCGTACGAGTAGCTGTAAGCTGGGTTGGGGTCGACAGATTCAGCCTGTACCACCTGAGATAATATAGTTTCAATAATATACATTTCTGTAAATAAATTATAATAAATATGATACATAATATTTTTAAAAAGCTACCTAAATTTTTGGTACATAACGTCACATATTAAAGAAATGATTTTTCTGGTTCATGATATATTATATTCGTAAAAGAAATATAAATTTCACTTAGTGAAAAGTTCCAACACTAAAAGTTAAGAATAAACTATGAGTATGAAATGTATATACAGCACGTAAAAATTTTAACATTAAAAACAAAAGAAAGAGTTTTGTGACAAAGTGCAGATACACCTGAGTGTATTCGATATATTCATGGCTATAACTAGGTATGACCAATTACTTTCGGGTAAAACTAGGTAAAATAAAGTTCAAATAATATAAAAATAACTATAACTTCTGTTAAATTTGTCAAATATATGAAAACACATATTAAGTAAGAGCTTTACGTTGTAGAGCCAAGCTGCAATTACATATAGCTGCGGAACGAATAGGTCGGCTTGACCGGGGAAGGACCACGCTCTCACAGAATATCAGCGTAAAATAGCGGCTCAATGCTGCTGTGTTTCGTGTAGTGTGTGTAGAGAACCGGAGACCCTTTTTACTGGAAACGAGGCATTTCATCTTAGTCCTCACGGGTGACTATGTGTTTGCATTTGGATTCTTAATCGAGGATAAATGTATAAGTCTATGGGCCACATCCACTTACCATCAGGTGGACCGTGTGCTCGTTTATTACCCTATTCAATAAAATAAAAAAGTAGTATCAACGACAGTAGGTGCTGTGACTCAAGTGCCGCGTACTTTCATAATATTTATAAATTATTCTGACAAATCAAATAGGCCTAAGTTTAACCAACCAACCAATCTTCCTTTTTTTCTTAACCTAACCTTCTTCCTCTTCTCCTTATACGTTTTAATTTTAGCATTTAAATCCAAAATTCATCAAGGCTTTGCAAGAATGGACTATGCACATAAAGCTTTCCCTAAAAGATTTGCTCATAGCACGCTATACTGAATGCGTTGGAGTAAGATGAACTCAGTACCGACAACTTCCTAAATTGGGTTCCAATTTGGGTTCAGGATAAGAGGGAGCCTCATATGTTAGTAAGCAAAATGCAACAAGTGATCAAGTAACGATGAGGTTGACAGTTAAAGAGATAGTTGATGTATTCACACTTACATATACTTGCGATACTACTCAATATTCCAGTTTTTTATAATTCGTATTCCAATATTTGTTAACGTGAAAATATTTTAAACAAATACACTATACAATATCTCGCGTACTTAGAGTATACATAAGGCAGTTTATGTACAATCTAAGCGTACGTATTATTAGGTAGTAATTAGTGTTGTAGAAAAAATTAAGTCAATGGCTTGTTGATATTTGATGACGTATTAGAAGTAGACCATTATTACATTCAACTGATACAATTACTTATTTATACGATGATATTTATAGAGAAACAAAAAATAGTAAAGGTTTGCGCCTTGCCTGCGCTGCAACTGTCTTAACGACTGGCGCCGCGATGGCTGGTGCGGCGATAGTGTGGGCGATTTGTGAGGTGTAGGCGGGTGCGAACGAGGGTGCCGTCAGTGCGGGTGCCAGCCCGTAGCCTCCGTAGCCGTCGAGAATTCCCGGCGCTGCCGTCACAGCGGCGCACGCGCAGCATAAGACGAATAACTGTAAAAATTATGTAAAATAGTAGTTTTTTAAACGTTAACACACTAGGAATACCTCCTGTATCGTGAAGGTAGTTCACAAACATGAATTGCGCAAAGAGAAACATTCAAACCCTGAACAATTATTTGTAGTCCATTCAATGTACTTGTTCCGTGCGGGATTCGAACCCGCGGCGCCCAGCGCTGCATTGCTAAGCCGCTGCGCGACGGAGCTGTCATTTATAGGTTGGATAGTGTTGTGCGTGCTATCGAAGCTAACGTTTAACTATTTATTGGATGGATGACTGGAAGGACCACGATCTCATTGAATACAAGTGAATTGCTCTAAGTTTTATATGGTGAGTGAAGGAAACCGGAGTTCATTTTTAATGAAAACGAGCCATCCATCTCTTTAGGGGTGAAAACACATATGCATTTTGATTGTAATCAAGGATAAATATGAATGTCTATGGGCCATAGCATTCAGGTGGACTGTGTGCTCATTTGTCGTTCTATACAAAAGGAGTAACAACCAAGCACATCTGATAATAATTGAATGCTGTGGCTCATGTACCCCTACATCTATCTTTTCTTCAAAATTAATATGAAGATGCGTTGTCACCCCTATTGGACTAAGATGGAAAGTCTCGTTGCCAGCACAAAGGTTATTCGGGTCTCGTTAACCACCATATGAAACACGGGGGGCTATGTTGCTATTTGTCGCTCATTTTTTTAGCGTAGGCCTTTCTCGGTCCACGTGTACTGATTTTAAATAAATATTTTCAATTGTACCAAACAAATTTATGTGCCAAATTTCGTTGAAATTCTCGCATGGCATTTAGGAACTAATTTCAGTCTCTCCTAATACATGCCACTAACACTAATAGCGTTCTTTTAATGGAACGCACTGTGACCTACAACCGATTCTAGATCCACTCCCAAGATCTATATGATTATTGATTATTTGCTGATTTCGACTGTGTCTAAACTTTTTCTCATAAAGTTAGTTTAAAAAAAAATTATAGAATCACTTGTCATATGATTATGTAAACACAGGGTCGACGTATTTTAATACCAATGGAGTTTATAAGTGATTGAGTATTTAAAGTTTTAAAAAAAAGAAGAAGAATGTAATTTCCATTCCCCCTATGCCAGCCACAGAAAATTTAACGTTACTGTAATCTATCTTTTGAACAAGGTTTAAAAGGTACATACGTTTTCCATCGAAGACTTATTGCAGTTCTACTAACATAACACGGAGTGGCAGACCTTTATTGCCATGCTTTGTATACATCCATTTTTAAATAAGATATCTCTGTCTAATTAAAATAATAGTATAGTTATACTTTAATTAGAACTTAAAAATATATTAGAGTTTTAAAAAAAAACTGAAACAACACGCATTTGATGATATTGAGAATCATTGACTTATATATTACGTGAGAATACATCGTTATCAAACATAATTGTAATCGGCTCTAAATACGTCTGTAAAATTTCTGATTATTCAGACGTCTAAAAGTAGGTGACAACTGAATTATAAACAAACTGTACGTAATTTAATCATCAACATATATATCATATCAACATAAGTACATACACACCTACATGTCAAGCTGTTAATAAAAGCATTTTGAAAAGAAGTTGACCGTTTTATTTTACCTTATTTAATTTAAACGCCATGTATATGTTTCAGTTCTTATATGGATACTGAATTGAATAACGAAATATCCATTCGCACTTCTAAAACAAAATCTATCGAATTTATCGAATCTAATACAGAATTAAACTTCCAAATAACAATGTTTATTATAAACTAAAATATAAAAAAGTTAAATTTTAAGAAACCGTATTGGTTATTTACCCAGGGTATTTAAATGATGAAGCCCAATTAAATTTTAGTCACCTATAGTCTGGTCTGGTTCCTAACGTTAAAACGGAGGAATTATTATTAATTAATCACCCAATTGTTGCGCACACTCTTTGAAATGTATCCTGTAGAACACATAAAGGCTGACTACTTTGCGCCGGTGCTTGAGACTGATAAGATCGGTTTTAATCAAATTCTGGTCCTTTGGGACCAAAGCTGTTAGGCGATATGTCCACTATACCACCACCATACGCCAACTTCCTGACTCCGGGCTATTGAGAATTTGTTAACAAAGAAACCTAACAACTGGGATTCAAAACCAGGACCACATAATCAGCAGTCGCGCTTAAGACCACTAGACCAACGAAGCAGTCAAGCGGTATTACTCCAGGCATGGTCGTCCGTAGCGCTTATACAGTACAAACAAATTAGTTACCAAAAATATCACATAAGGCAATAATATTCATACATAGCAAAATTGTATTTGAATATAGTAGCGTTATAACACCAAGAATGTTTAATAAATAAGTTTGTTTCTGTCACATCTCGTATACTGGATTATTTCACTATGTCGCACTGAGAAGTCTAATTCAACAGACGAAATAAGTATAAATAAAAACAAAAAAAAGTGATAAAAGTCACTATTATTTATATGATTAATTTTCCTACGAAATTTGTAACTTATAATTATGGAAAAAGCCATTATTAACGATATAATAAAATAATATTGTTAAATATTTTTCTCTGAAATAATTTATTTTGCAAAAATATAATATCACGTGTAAACTACGTACCTTGGCGTACATGACTATTGCGGGCGTTTAGTCTTGCGGTATGGAACACGTGTGACGAAAAGATCTCTCGACGGGGTATATAAAGCGGACCCCTGCAAGAGTGGGACCCAGCCTAGTATCATTTCACAATCAAGGATACTCGCCCGCCATCGTCTAATGGAACTAGAGCACTAATAATGTATGTATTTTAGAATCAGATCACAAAATGGCGACCGTAAAACAAGAACAAATTGATTGGAATTCCGTTGCGGAGCTTAGAATAGGTAGCGGTGGGTTTTCACAATTCATATCGTAATCGTTATGATTACGGACCATAAAAGTCCTCTAGTGTACATCGGCCTCACCATTGATTGCGTTATGAGAGGAATAAGGTACGTGAGGGTAATGTGGTCTCCTTAAGCTTTGCCGTCCTATAAAACTAAAACTAGGAGGAGGACGGAGACTAAAACACAAAGTCGTATACTATAACTAATATATTAAGAAAAAAATAGCAAACAAGCTTTGAAAATAATTAGGAACACTTCGAAAAATCAATTTAAAAAAACTAACTACACTAAACAATACTAAAATCGACTAAAATATTTACTTCACCTGTCAAAATGGCGTCGATGAAGTAGAATCCTTTTGACTCTTTATTATTTGATTGACCGATGAAGAGCTATCGTATCACACAGCCATCTATGCGAGCAAGGCTATAGTTTTTACGTAATAAGCAAGTGACAATATTAACTGGATGACCACATTACCCTCACGTATATTTGCCGTAGCTGCCACGCTTAGCATTCAAGTCGGGAACAGCAGATTTTTTATTTTCTAGTTTTTATTAGAAACACGCTTCTATTATCTCCTGGTTGCTTTCCTCAGGCGCTTCTTATTATCATAATGCTATTATCATAATACCACGGGACGGTAGTGGATTTACCAGACAGCGGCGGTGTAATAACATCCACAATTCTTGCATTTGGATAAAGACTCCTGGTGGTAACTTTTAGGTAAACAACTCGTCTTAAAAACTTCTTTACATTATAGAGATATGCTGCAGTTGTATTTTGATTATAGTACGAACGGGCCAGCTCGACCGGGTAAATACAATTCTCTCAGAAAACCCAAGTAACATATCGAAGCAGTATCACGGCCTACTTACAGCATTTCTGTATCGTTTTCGCATTTTGAGTTAGTTCTATAGTAGCATTAAAAACGTTTTACGGCTACTGTAATGTTAATTTGGGCACAAATTATACAGTTTTAGATTCCAAATAGGTTCACAATAGTTGTTTAATTGCATTACAGGCGCATTTTATTAGCATTATCGTGGTCAATGAAGGTATCAATCGCATTAAAGATGAATTATTATGGTCAATGAAGGTGTCAATGGCATTAAATAAGCATTATATTAGCAATATTACTGATGATCAAGATTTTAATTGCATTACAAAAGTTTTAGACCAGCATTAGAGTATAATAAAAGAATGATTTGAGCTGTTTAATTGTTCACAGTTAGAATTTAAATAAACCTTACATCATTGCAAAAATATCTATCGAATACATACAATTAACGTCGTAATATACACTTTTTTTATAGGATATGGTGACAAACGAGCACACAGTCCACCTGATGGTAAGTGGTTGCTGCGGCCCATAGACATCTACATCTTTCTTCGATTAAAAATCAAAATGCACATGCGTTGTCACCCGTGAGGACTAAGATTGAATGCCTCGTTTCCAGTAAAATGGGTCTCCAGTTTTTACGCTGGTATTCTGTGAGAGCGTAGTACCTTCCGCGGTCGAGGCGACCCACTCGTGCTACACCTATACTACAAATATAACTCCAGCATGGCTCTACCACGTATAAAAATACCTACTTTATTACTCTCTATGGACGAAGAAAGACGGTCAATATTGAGTGAGTGGCACGATCGTATTCGTTTACATCAAAACAAAATTTATAAAGTGTTTTACTCATTCCTGCGAATAGTACAGCGCAATGTAAACTACACTGTTAATCTCTACATAAGTTTCATTGAAAATTTTCACGCGCCTTCGATATTTTGTAGATTTGATATAAAATATTATATAAAAAATTAAAAATGCTATTTTAGACCCTAAAGCACTAAAAACAGCTGAAAGCTGTATAGCATATTTACGTGGAATTATAATGATTCATGTTTATGCTATTAAACAGCATTAAGCATTTATTTACTACATAAAAATGCTTTTGTAAATCCAATTGCACTAAGAACAAATGAAAACTGTACAGTTGCGTTGTAGTTTGCTGCACTAAAACTAAAGGCTTTGCAAAAGCATTTTGATATGTCTTTATCCAACCGTTATACAGTGTAAAACATCATAATGGTTTTGTAATGCCAATATAAAGCGTCAGGATGCTCGGTGAACTTATATAAGTGTCTATACGGACCTTAATTTAAACATAAGTTTACTATTCGTTTGTTAAAATGCTTCCTGTGTTACTTGACTATGACCTAGAAATTGCTGAACAAATATGTATGGTGTTTGAGAGAATTCTTTGAGGTTCCAAATAAATAACTAAGTGAATAAAGCATTCTATCTCGCAGGGCTGATAATGCTATCTATATTTAAATACTTAATTGAATATAGATCTAGGTGATTTTAGCCACAGCGTCCTCTTATCGGCAGTTGGACTATGTGCTTATTTGTCAGCCTTAGGTACTTGTTTAAAAAAAAACAATTTAAAAACTTTAAGCCTATAAAATGACAAAAAATAATTTGACCCAAAGAAAACCTATGAATACTGACGGCACGCGCCGCCGTTTAAGCGCGAAATACCAGCTTATTATGGACGTTGCTGGTTTCCGTAATCAATGAGAGCAAATTTCAAAAGTTTTTCCACTTTCAATATAAGGTACGTTTTTTATGGCATTCATACAAAGTGGAACTGTTCAGTAGTTCCAAAGAGTTTGTTGTTAGAAGAACCGTAATGAAATCTAATGTCTAAATTTTTATACATGGTAGAGTCATGCTGCAGTTATATTGGTAGTAAAGTTGGAGCAGGAATGGGTCAGCTCAACCGGGAAAGGACCAGTGTAGAGAACTTGAGACCATTTTTACTGGAAACGAGACATTACATCTTAGTCCTCACGGGGTCCTCATCTGCATTTTGAATCGTAATCGAGGATATATGTAGATGTCTATGGGCCACAGCAAACACTTACCATCAGGTGGACTGTGTGCTTATTTGTCACCCTATCCTAAAAACAAATAATTATCCAATTGATAAACTTATTATGTAGATGTCGTTATCTTTAAATGAATTTTACTTTTTTAAATCTAGACTAAGACTATTTTAGTAATGAGCCATTCGGTTATAGTCCTCAGAGGTGACTACGCATCGTTGTGTTTTCATTCTTAATCGGGGATCGATGTCTAGGGGTCCAACAGCACCTCACCATCAGGCGGATTTTGTATTTGTTGGTTAAGTCACCATATAAGTAAGTCACAATAAATAAATAAATAACTATAATAATAAGTGAATAAGTAAGTCATATAAAAATATTGGAAGTAATAGGGAATATACTTTGGTGAACAACTCTTCTAGTGTAACCTTCTAAGTCTGAAGGTGTGTATTAAGTGTTCGAGGGTTGCAGTTTCAGTAAACATTTACCACTTAAAATATTAAAAAAAATGCTGTAATGGTTATCGTAATTCATGATTGAGGACAGACAATATCTAATAAGGCAAGCCCGGCCGATGTAAATGAAAACATTACACCGCGTCTGCACCTCACTGCTGGCTAAATAATATATTGGTCTCCTCTCACTATTCGATTTAAAATTCTAGTATGGTGTTTAGAAGTTAATTGATATTTTGGAAAAAATCTTTGTTTTTCGTACTTGCTTTGAGACACTGTCTATGGCACAGCCCACCCATTTTCCCGAAAAAAAATTGAAGATGTCACATTTGTCAAAAAAAATGACATACATGGTATAATAAGTGATAATTCAAAGTCAAGACCAATTATTGGGTGTGTTCGGCAGAAAAAAGCGCTAGCAAGCGCTTACTAGCGCTAAAATAGTTTTCGGCCAGGACACGATTGCTACTTCAGTAGCGCTGACACAATCCGCTATTTTCCTTATTTTTTGAAGTAGAGTTTATAAGTTGTTTTTTTTGCAATATTAGTTTTAAGTAATATAATGACATGAATAGACATATACATTTTATTAAAAATTCATGATTGGTAAGTTTTTAGTATGAGTACTTCACAAACATATATTTAAATTAGGTTAGGTTCCCCAGTTAAAACTAACATCGTGTCCTAGAGGAAAATAGCTACTTACAATTTGACAGCGCTTACCGCTTACGATCGCCATTATGCTTACAAGCGCTTGCTAGCGCTTTTTTCTGCCAAACGCACCCGATGATTAGGCGATATCTTTCCTAGTCTATTTATCTAACCAGAGGCGGTAGCCGTTCACTGGTTCACAGACGTACGCCATAATTTTAGGTTACCTATGATAGCGCAAAGACCAGAAAAACTTTGTACGGTCTGTTTTCATTCAGCTTCCATCACTTATGGCAGTTTTAGAGCAAACGACTTCTTTAAAGTTCTAATAAGCACAAATAATTCGATCTTGTTAATTCACCTACCTTCAAGACATGTAACTGTCTACAGATATTTATAATTTATATCACACCAGCCAATCAATCCATAGAGAGCTGGAGCACATTGAATTCCATGCATCGTTTTAGGCGTGCGCCTGTGTTGTCCATTGGAACTATTTGGCACATGTGTCCATTTTAACTTGTTTAGCCAGCTTTAGGTGTCTGAATTGACAAGTTTTTGTCTATTTTCTTTGACTTAAGTCCAAATCATTAAAATAGCATTAGCCTATTCAGTGAAAACACTTCTGTTCTGAGATAAATAATATAGTTGTGGGGAGTTGCGGGTTGAAGTCCCATATATTAAAGACATATAATAGTAAGGTCTATGATACAAAGGCATTGTTATAAAAGGTCTTTATGATGAATTAGCATTA